AACAAGAGGTTCAAAAGATTATTTATTTACAAAATATTGCAAATCAATTGCCAGATGCATTCACTAACCTACCAAGGGTGACTAAGTCACATATTGCAGCTGCTAATGCTCCAATTCGAGTTGATATCTCGGCAGGACAATTAATTAAAGCAAATGAGTCTAAGCCATACTTGAAACGTGGTAGACCAATTGGTTCTAAAGATAAAAATTCCCGAAGAAGAAAAGGAGCAAGTGATCAAAGTGAACATAACACAGAGGTAGTGGCTCAAGAAGAGCCCCAAGACATAACAAATGATAAGACCTTAGGGGAGGTCTAGGTACCTGAAAATAATGAGAATGAAGAGATATCAATAAGTTACATCTCAATCGGGAAAAGATGGAACCGAAATAATACTGTTATCGATAACATTTTTGCTTATAATGTTGCTGTTGAAATAATGCAACAAGATGAGAATCTTGAACCAAAATCTGTCAATGAATGTAGACAGAGAAATGATTGGCCAAAATGGAAAGACGCTATCCAGGCAGAGTTAACTTCACTTGGAAAACGTGAAGTCTTCGGACCCATAGTTCGAACACCTGAAGGCATAAAGCCAGTAGGGTATAAATGGGTTTTTGTGCGAAAACGAAATGATAAAAATGAAGTCGTTAGATATAAAGCGCGACTTGTGGCACAATGGTTTCTCAAAGGCCTGGAATTGATTATATGGAAACATATTCTCTTGTAGTGGATTCTATCACCTTCAGGTATCTCATAAATATGGCAGTGCAAGAAAAACTTGATATGCACCTAATGGATGTTGTTACAGCCTATTTTGTATGGATCATTAGACAACGAAATTTTTATGCAAGTACCTGAGGGATTTAAAGTGCCAGAAGCATATAAAAGTTTTCGAGAAACTTGTTTAATAAAGTTTTAGAAATCTTTATACTGATTGAAACAATCAGGTTGTATGTGGTACAATCGCCTGAGTGAATACCTGTTGAAAGAAGGGTACAAAAATGATCCAATTTGTCCTTGTGTCTTTATAAAAAGGTCTGGATCTGAATTTGTTATAATCGTTGTATATGTTGATGATTTAGATATCATTGGAACTCATGGGGAGCTTCCAAAAACAGTAGACTGTTTGAAGAAAGAATTTGAAATGAAATATCTTGGAAAGACAAAATTTTGTCTTGGTCTACAAATTGAGTATATGAAAGATGGAATATTTGTCCATCAATCAACATACACCGAAAAGATTTTAAAGCGATTCTATATGGATAAAGCACATCCATTGAGTACCCCGATGGTTGTGAGATCACTTGATATAAAGAAAGATCCATTCCGACCTCATGAAAATGATGAAGAGCTTCTTGGTGCCGAAGTACCATATCTTAGTGCAATTGGGGCATTAATGTATCTTGCCAATAATTCCCAACCAGATATAGCTTTCTCAGTAAGCTTATTGGCAAGATTTAGTTCTTCGTCAACACAAAGACACTGGAATGGTATTAAATATATATATTCAGATACCTCCAAGGGACCATTGATATGGGTTTATTTTATTCAAATGAATCCAAGACATCATTGATTGGTTATGCAGATGCAGGATATTTGTCTGATCCACACAAAGGTCGATCTCAAACAAGCTATTTATTTACAAGTGGAGGTACAGCCATATCATGGCGTTCGACAAAACAAACTATGGTTGCTACTTCTTCAAATCATGCAGAGATAATAGCCATTCACGAAGCAAGTCGAGAATGCATTTGGTTGAGATCTATAACTCAACACATTCAGCAAATATGTGGTCTTTCTTCGAAAGAGAATATTCTAACAATATTGTATGAAGACAATGCTGCATGCATAGCTCAATTGAAAGGAGGATATATCATAGGAGATAGAACAAAACACATTTCACCGAATTTTTTTTTTCACTCATGATCTTCAGAAGAATGGTAAAATAGATGTACAACAAGTTCGTTCAAGTGATAATTTAGCTGATCTGTTCACTAAGACATTACCAACCTCAATATTTGAAAAGCTGATATATAAGATTGGAATGCGTCGTCTTCGAGACATTAAGTGATTTTTCATCAGGGGGAGTAACTATACGCTGCACTCTTTTCCNATCGTATTCGAGACATTAAGTGATTTTTCATCAGGGGGAGTAACTACACGCTGCAATCTTTTCATTAACCAAGGTTTTGTCCCACTGGGTTTTCCTGATAAGGTTTTTAATGAGACATCAATCAATGCATATAATAAATAACTATGTACATACCAATATTTTTTTTTTGTAAGTTCTTAATAAGGCACATTATCTTACATGGACATCCAAGGGGGAGTGTTATGAATAGTTTGTACATTGGATGCTACACTTGATGCCCATGTTGTGAATAACTTAAAGATTAAATCTCCTACTTTATGTCCATCATCTTTACTTTTTATGCCTATAAAAGGCCATGTAATTGCAATGGAAAGATACACCAAAGTGAAAGAAGAAAATACTTCTCCCTTCTTTCTATCTCTTCTTATTTACATTTTACTGCATTGCTTTTATTTTATAACATTTTTTTATTTTTCCCTTATCGATTTTCTTTTTGGGGTTGAGGGAGGGGAGGAGAATGAGGTGATTCTAGTGGTGGTAAACGGGTGGGTCAGATCAGCTTTGAGCGGGGTCAAAACGGATAATGCAAAAAATGGATAAATTATCTGATCCAATACATATTTAATACGGATAAAAAACAGGTTAACCAGCGGATAATATGGATTCATATTATCCATGACTTCTTGAATATAATCACTTTGGGAGAATTTTTAGTCTCATAAACTTGAAGAACTATCCATTGGTTATCAATTTTCTAAGTGGATAATATGGTTCTTATCCATATTTGATTTGTTTTAAAATATTCATTATCTAACCCATTTTTAATGGATAATACGAGTGGATAGCTATTTTTTTTTAAACCATTTTGTCACCGCTAGGTAGGGGTGGGCATATATCGAGTAAAACCGATAACCCGAGCCGTTAATTATTTATTGGGTTATCGGTATTGGGTTATTAGGTTAACGGTTCGGTAATGGGTTAAATTGTTTTTTATTGGGTTATCGGTTCGGGCTCGGTTTGGCAATTCTGTTATTGAGTAAAACCGATAATCCAATAAGGATTAACTAATTTACTAGTTTACCCTTAAGTATATACATACTAGGTTTCATAATTCATAGTTCACTCTTTGATTTCCCTAATTCTTTCTTAGTTTCTCCGCCTCACACCCTCACCAGTCAGCCCGTCAAGACTCAGGCCGGCGTCAGTCGCATTTCTCAGTTTCTTTCTTTCACTCTTCAGTCACATCTTCACTTCATTTCTCAGATCCATTAGATTCTTCAGTTGCATCTTCACTTCACTCTTCAGTTGCATTCTTCATCTTCATCTTGATTCTTCGTGTAAGTTTTTAGTTGCTTCATCTTCATTCTTTTTCTTAGTTTGTTTGAAAGCATTCTGGCTCTGGATTTTCTTAGTTTGTTTGAAAGTTGAAGTGAGATTCGTCGTGTGCTTTAAATTGTTGAGTTGTTACAAAGTTATCTTGTGTCAGTTGTTATAAAATTTGTATTTCATAACTAATAAACATTTTAATCTATATACATAATTCTGTACTAGAGTAAAAAAGTAGATATCAATGTACAAAGAGTTAATGCTAGTTGTTTGAACAAAGAAGATCTTAAGAACACTGATTTTACCGAAATTGTTTTATACATTGCAAATCTTATAAAACTATTTTAGCAAAACAGTTTTATACCGAAACTGTCTTATATATTGCGAAACAGTTTTATACATTGCAAAACTGTTTTAGTTGTTTTATCTTATCGGGTAAACCGATAACCGAACCGATAATGATCGATAACCAATAACCAATATCTTATCGGTTTGGTTATCGGGTTATGATATTTGTAAACCGATAACCGATAGGCAAAACCGATAATATTCATAACCGAATCGAACCGACCGATGCCCACCCCTACCACTAGGTGGTTCCATGAAAAATCGAAGGGTGAAACAAGAAGAAAGAAGGTATTTTAGTGAGATTAAGATCTAAAATTGATATGATGTCGGTTTAATTATAACTATTAAGTACTTTTTTCTTTGGTTGTAATCTAGTGATTAATAAAGTAGGTAAATAAAATACAATCAACTATAATTTATATCTTAGCAGAAACAAAAGACATTAGGTAATTTTTTTATTTGCATAAACTTTAGTAAAACGGCATGTATTTTATCTCAAGTAAGATATCAATTATCCCTACATTCACCTATGTAAATCTCAAATTTACTTTCAACCAAGGGTGGATCAAAATATTACTCCCTCCGTCTCATATTATGTGTCGTGCTTCTTTTTTACACGTTTTAAAAAAAATATTAATTAGAAAAGAGATTGGACTATTCTACCCTTATTTATGTCATAAGATATAATTTTTGTTCATTGAATATTTATGCTATTTGTGTGTTATCTCCATTTTAAAGAATAATTATTACTAAGGGTAAAAAAAGGAAAAAAAATTAATCAGTTTTGTCTTGAACTTCTAAAATAACAAATAATTTGAGGTAACTATTTTTAGTAACAAGACTGTTAATATGAGATAGAGGGAGTAATTAATTATCTATTATCTAAGTATTAACTCATATAGCCGCCCACCCAACTACTTAAACTAAACATAGTCGGTTCAGGAATAAAATATGCATAATTTATATATTTATGTGTATAATTATATATAATTAATGTATAATTTATGTATATAATTAGAAAAAGCAAACAATGAATATCACCGGCTATTTGTATAAAGATCCCTTTATTCACATTTACATAAATATTGTAAATATTTTCTTACTATTTAACAAAAAAAAGAGAACAGACACCTAACATGAGAAGTTTTAGGATCACTATCCATATAACAAATGAAAATGTCAAAATTAGACCCCACAATAATATAGTACTCAAATTGCATCTAAATCTAGATATAAAAGATCTTCTCTTCCACCAAATCTTTACTGTACAACCTTCAAAATCCCATCTTTGGAAAGAAAAAAAGGCAAAAATTCTCTCTTCCATTGCAACAACTCAGAATGACTGCTCCTCAAATCTCTTCTTCACCTCAACCCCTTCTTGAAGATGAAGAACAACCCAACACCCCCCAAAACCCCACCCCCACAAAAAAATCCAAGAAATTAGCTTTAATCCCACTTATTTTCATAATCTTTTTTGAGGTTTCTGGTGGTCCTTATGGTGCAGAAGCAGCAATTGGTGCAGCTGGTCCTTTACTAGCAATTCTTGGATTTTTAATCTTCCCATTTATTTGGAGTGTACCTGAAGCTCTTGTTACAGCTGAACTTGCCACTACTTTTCCAGGTAATGGTGGATTTGTTATTTGGGCTGATAAAGCTTTTGGCCCATTTTGGGGTTCTTTAATGGGCTCTTGGAAATTACTTAGTGCTGTTTGTAACTTAGCTTCTTATCCTGTTCTTTGCTTAGATTATATTAAGTTGGTTTTTCCTATTCTTTCTTCTGGTTTTCCTAGGTATATTGCTATTTTCTTGATTACTATGTTCTTGTCATTCTTGAATTATTTAGGTTTGTCTATAGTTGGTTACACTGCTGTTGTATTAGGTGTACTTTCCCTTTGTCCATTTTGGTTAATTACCTTATTTTCAATTCCCAAGATTGATCCTAGTAGATGGTTAAGTTTAGGTCAAGAGGGTGTTAAAAAAGATTGGAACTTGTTCTTTAATACCCTTTTTTGGAACTTGAATTTTTGGGATAATGCTAGTACTTTAGCTGGTGAAGTTGAACAACCTCAAAAGACATTTCCTAAAGCCCTTTNAACATTTCCTAAGGCACTTTTTTCAGCTGGAATTGTTACATGTTTTAGTTATGTGTTACCCCTTTTGGGCACTACTGGTGCTGTCCCATTGGAACAAGGTAAATGGACTGATGGCTATTTTGCTGATTTGGCTGCTATGATTGCTGGAAATTGGTTGAAATATTGGATGGAACTTGGAATTGTGTTGTCAGTGATTGGTTTATATGAGGCTCAATTGAGTAGTTGTGCTTACCAAATTCTTGGAATGGCTGAAATGGGGTTGTTGCCTCGAGTTTTCGGTGTAAGATCAGAATGGTTTAACACACCTTGGATTGGAATTTGTGTACCAACATTAGTAGCATTGGTTGTGTCATACTTGACATTTGCAGACATCGTATCATCTGTGAATTTCTTGTATAGTCTTGGGATGTTGCTTGAATTCGCGTCGTTTTTGTGGTTGAGAAGGAAAATGCCTAATGCTAAGAGACCATATCAAGTGCCACTGTCAATGCGAGGACTATTGGTTATGTGTTTTGTTCCTTCTTGTTTTCTGGTTTATGTTATGGTTGTTGCTCATAGGACTGTGTATATAGTCAGTGCATTGCTCACTGTTTTTGCCATTGCTTGGTACTTTTTCATGGAGTTTTGTAAAACCAAGATGTGGTTTTGTTTTCAAAGTGCTGAAGACAAGGTTGATGATGAGGATTTGTAATTTAAATTGGAAATAATTGTTGGTGCGAATTTGTTTATTTTTTATGATGTATTTAGGATTTAAGTTATACATGTACAAATAGTTTAACCAACTATTGCTATTATCCTGTTTTTCAAGTTACCATAGCAAATGTCTTATGAAGACTTACCTATTGTTGTACATTAACTTAACTTAATCGTGCAACATATATATATATATATATATATATATATATATACTGTCACTGTACAAAATTTAAACTCCTAATATTTACTTGCATCTTGATGATATTCCCTAGACATGTGACCACTCTCGAAAGCGAAAATAGCACGGGCTAGCCAGTTTTCGGATTGGTAATTGAAAATTTGTCACGACCCATTTTCTGAACAAGCCGTGACCCGCACCCGGTCACTAAACTTGACCGAGCAAATCATCTGCGCTTATCAAATTTATTATAACTACAAACTTTATATGCAACAAGGCAATGCTTTAACCAAATACTTTTAATTAATTTAAATATCTAAAATAAACCAACTCCAAAACTTTATTCGTAGTAACCACTGAAATACTGCTAAGTTATTATAAAAAACATCTGAATTTTAACCCAACGACTGTGTCTATAAAGCCTCTACTGATAAACTGACGCACTGCTCAGGACATGAGATTTTCTGGCTAGTTCTCCAAGTAAACAAAGAAATAACTAAATAAAGATGACTCAACGGAATACTCCACGAACAAAAGCGGAGCTCACCAATAGTAGTGCAAGACGGGGAAATCCTAACCTGTAGCTTGCTAGCCTGCAAAATCGGTTCCTACGTTGTACCGCAGACCAACGTAGGTTCCCAAAAGAGAACGTCACTATCATCCATCGTACTCAGTGAGTCTCCACGACAGGGGACGAAACTTTAATAAAATATACATTATGAGCAAAGATTCTAAATGCATGGAAAATATAAAGCTTCTAATAACAATTCTAAAATAATTGCATAATAGCAGTTTATGAATATTCTAAAAGAAATTCTTTTCTTTTTCTTTCTTATAAAAAAATACTTCGCTTTATACTTCGGGAGTCCCAACTATCCTGACTTATTTCTGTCTTAGTCACCGTGTGATCGGCACAGGTTCGATCCCCACCTGATCGAATAGGCCCAATTCACGAGGTGCCACTCGCTTCATGGTTCTCAACGCTCATGTATCATACCTTAGCCTGACTAAGTAAATTCTCAGCAACAAGACCCTCGATTCGTGTGCTCCTTACTTTAGCACAAGTAGTTTCAGGAAGTCAACGCCTTGGTCAGGACTAGGAGTGGCAAGCGGGCGGGTCGGGTCGGATGTGGTTCGGGTCGAAAACGGGTAATGAAAAAGCGACTAAATTATCTGACCCAACCCATATTTAATACGGATAAAAAACGGGTTAACCGGCAGATAATATGGGTAACCATATTACTTATCCATGAATTCTTGCATATGATCACTTTTGGGAGAATTCTTAGTCTCCCTAACTTGAGGAACCCCAATTTGAGGCTTTATAAATGTAAAAGTTAGACTCATTGGTAATTCATTGGTTACTCATTGGTTATCCATTTTCTAAATGGATAATATGGTTGTTATCCATATTTGATCCATTTTTAAAAAGTTCATTATCTAACCCATTTTTTAGTGGATAATATGGGTGGTTAACTGTATTTTGCCACCCCTAGTCAGGACCCTCGGGCTGGACGATGACCCCTTTTCAAGTCTAAATCTTTTCTGGAACATCCTATACATACTCATACTGGTATCCTTAAATGTAAAGCATGGTATAAGAATAAAATAAACATTCAAAAGTATTTCTAAAGATTCTTGCTTCTTCATGAATTTTCAACATGAAAATGGCATATAAGGATAACACAAAAATTTGAAAATCTATGCACCTATATCATAATAAATCATCTAAACTTTAGCCAGAACAATTCTAAGTTAATAGGTACTCACTTGCTCCAATTAAGTATATATTAACTCTTTTAAGCAATTTATAAATACCTTGTATGTGTGCTTTTGTGAGTTAAACCACTTTAGTAAAGGGTTATATCAACTCACCTCAAAACTCCTCAAGCCAATACATAGGCTCCAGTCCAATTTATACCTGTTAAACAATCGATTCTATAACAACCAATGTATTTTAATTAACTTAAACGTTTCACACCCAAACATTTAACTTACTGTTGATACAGAAGAAGAAGGGAATTAACTATTCAATTCTTACCTACTACTACCGTAGGAAAATTGATAATATGGAATTTTATATACCTGGGTTCAATAACTAGTGATTTGTAAAGAACCGTAAAATTTTTGTTGCCTACGTGAGTAAGCCGCCCCTGTTTCGTGGTTCTCTGTTTGTGAGAATGAATAGAATGCTTTTCTGTTTTCATTATAAGGATTTTAATTTTTTTTTTTTTTGCGTTTCAACAGCCCTTTACGGGCTTTTAGGCTTGTCACACCCCCCCTCCCAATTTTTTGTTTTATTGCCTTTTTTTCATTTAACTAATAATTAATGATACTCACTTTTAATAATTAATAATATTAAAATTATTAATATTCTCTAATTGTATATCCAATTATTTAAGTATACTTTTATAGATTTGGGGAGTGTTACAAAAATAATCAGCATTTGCAAGGTCATTGAAAAATAGTCACTATTTTGCTGCATCACGGAAAGTTCCAGCATAATATATTGGAGATTAGTGCACCTGTGTATGAACTTCCAGCATATTATGTTGGAACTCCAGCACACGGAAAGTTCTAGCATTATATACTGGAGATTGGAGCATCTGTGTATGAACGTCCAACATATTATGATGGACCAATATATTATGCTGGAACTCCAGTATATCATGCTGAAATATTTTTCGAATTTTGAATAATGTTTTCGTTCATATATATCTTTACATGAAAAATTGTTAAATTTCGATTACTTTTGAAATTATGGCTTTTTTCAATTACCACTTATAAATTTGACTTTTTTTGAATTTCACGGGAGAAATTCAAAAATAGCCAGATTTACAATTGGTCGTTAAAAAATAGCTCAGTTTCAAAAGTAATCGAAATTTAGCCACTTTTCATGTAAAGATAAATCTGAGCGAAAACGCTGTTCAAAACCCGAAAAATACGCCAGTATATTATACTGGAGTTCCAGCATAAGTATGCTTGAACTCATCATATTATACTGGAGTTCCAACATAAGTATGCTTGAACTCCAGCATATTATACTGGAGTTCTATGATAAGTATGCTGGAACTCCAGTATAATATGATGGAGTTCCAGCATAAATACACTAGAACTCCAGCATAATATACTGGAGTTCCAGCAAGTATAATTGTCCAGTATAATATACTGGAGTTTGGAGCACCGGTGCTCCAGTCTCCAGTGTATTATACTGGAGTCAGCAAAGTATACCGGTCCAGCATAATATGCTGGAGTCCATACACAGGTGCACCGAACTCCAATATATTATGCTGGACTGGTCTCTGTTGCAGCAAAATAATGACTATTTTTCATTAACTTCGTAAACGCTGGCTATTTTTGAATAACCGGTCCGAAAACTGACTATACCCTGCTATTTTTACGAATTTCACCCCTCTCGGAATGTGCCATTTTTAGCCCATCTTGATATATTTAATACAGTATGTAATACATACTATTAAATATGTTGAATGATTCCAATAAATATTAAATAATGGCACAAGTGGAGAACATGAGTAACCAGTTTTGATACTGCTTGAAACGTGAATCGCACCATTGTTCTGCTTGCAGACAAGAAATGCGCAGAATACAGGCAAATGACGTGTTGTAGGGCATTTTGACAATAAAAAAAAATGTATTCAAAATGGAAAACATTAATTGAAGTACTTGGAGGATATTTAGGAACTAATTCATGATTCACGTTCACTTATATATCTTTGGTTCTATCTCTTAATTCTTTGTTGGGTGTGGCGGGGGAGTAATTCCGCCTGTCTGAGTTTGTAATATTATCGGTCTCAAGCCCGGACAAAAGCCCGGAAGGAGGATTGTAATTAGTGTAAAAGTTGTCAATTCAAGATGAATCCTTCTGCGTAAAAAATGTACTCCCTCCGTTTCAATTTAGATGAGGTAGTTTGACTCGACACGAAGTTTAAAAAAAGAAAAGAAGACTTTTGAAACTTGTGATCTTAAAAGCTTTAGGGGTAAAAGCTTTGTGGGGCTATAACATTTGTGTGTTATAAAAGTTTCTCATTAAGGATAAAATGGGTAAAATAAAGAGTTTAAAGTTGAATTATTTCCAATTGTAGAAATGTGTCATTCTTTTTGGAACGGACTAATAAGAAAAGTATGTCATCTAAATTGAAACAGATACTTGGAATCCTAGCACGGGTGGTAAAACCCTCATCATAGTACTTGAAACCACAACATAGGTACTCGAAACCTCAATACGGGTTCTTGGCAGAGGCGGATCCACGATTTAATATGGGTTCCTGCAACGATCTCGAGTAAATTTTAAATAGTAACTGGGTTCACATATAAACATTTATAGATATTTAATAAATTTTTCGAACACATTCACACTGTTTAGACAAAATTTACTGGGTTCACGTGAACCCGCAAGTGGGTAGGTGGATCCGACCCTGGTTCTTGGAACCACAGTACGGTTTCTCGAAACCTCTGCACGGTTACTCGGTACATATCTGTGCTCAACAGGAGTACTTAGAAACTCAGCACGGATTCTTGGAACCTCAGTACGAGTTCTTGTAACCTCAACACAGATACTGGGACGTCAGTACTTAGAAACTCAACACGAGTTCTTGGAACCTCAATACTAATACCTGGAACGTCAGGATGCGTATCTGGTACCTACCTGTGCTAGTACTTGGAACCTTATCTTCTAAAATTGTGTCTCTTTGTATCTATAAAGTTCATGGGCTCTTCACACTTTGGGCCAGGCCATGGTATATTTGTGGGAAAACGTAAAAATTGCATGGGGCGCTCTATTTGGTCGCCCCCATTTAATTTATACCCGTATTTTTAAAATTATTTAATCTATACCCTAATTTTGACAACTTCAGACTCCTCCTCTTCTTCCTCCTGACATATGCGCTCCTTTCTTCCTCC